TCCCGGGGAGGCGGTCAGTGCAGAAGAGGTCAGTGCAGACAGCCTGGCAGCTCTGGGGAGCACAATCCCATTTTGCAATCGGAGTGAATTGCCAGAGGAAAAGGCATGGCTGGAGGCAACACTTCAGCTTCACCTCGTACAGGTGCAGCACTTGGCGCAACCCTCTCCCCCCTGCAGTAAACAGCTCCTTGTATTCCTACAGCAACAGTAGATAGCCACCAGACGGAGGACAGTAGGCACAGGGTTTCCTCTCTGTTGGAGAGCCTCTGACGTAGAGGGATCTTTCCTCTGGGTGGGAAGTAAGCCAGGAGTTAGTCTCTACCTTGGAGGTTGGGAAATGCCACCCTGCGTGCGTGAGGAGCTCGGAAGTGCGTTCGTCCTTGCTGCTCTCTCCTGCCCCCTTCATAGTCTGGAACATCTCTCTCACAGCTTCACCTGCCCTCATGCTGTTTTGACCTGGGAGATCCCTACTGCCGCGTCCTGCGCACAGAGTACAACAGCCCGCATGAAGTCCAGAGGAGGTGTGTGGCAAGAGAGGTGTAGAGCCTCTGGGCCACTCCACCAGGCAACAAACACAGTCTTTACACCATTGTGCTTGCAATGGTTTACTCTCAAGTGCCCTACCTCGCTCCTCATCAGCTAGCATCTGCATACAGGTGTGCCACGAATCTGCTTGGCTCAGTGGCTCAGCTCTGGGTCAGGCTGGCTATTTCAGTTCTGGTCAGTCCTTTAAGCCAGTCTGCTGTGTGTAAGTTCATTCACTAGTCAAGCAATGCCTCGAGGCATCAGACCATGAAAAGCACAGGTAGGTCCTGATGCACAAGTAGTTGCTGCATGAAACCATGCAGCAGCACCTCTCAACTTTGCTAGCAAAAGAGCATCAGAAAGGGAGGACAAGGCAAGAGTCCCCTTTCATCTCCCATATGGGGAAGAAAGGGCAAGACAGCAGCATTTCCATTCAAAGACCTTTGAGAACCTGTAGGTATGAAAAGCCAAGCCAGTGCAGATTCCAGCTGAATGTATAGGATAAACACTACTCTGTATGAATAACAGGGCTGTCACGTGCCCCTGGGACTATGGGGATGAGCTCTAGTTGTTACTCACCATTATTTACAAGTCACAGGGAACTAAGGGCAGAGTGGAGGAAAGGAGACCAGCAGACAACTGCCTGAAAAATGGTAAGAGGGGAGATCCTGGAACTGGTTGAACCTTGAAGCCAGTATTACATGGGAGGCAAAAGGGGGAGAAAAAATAAAGTGATTTAGCAGCAACTCTGGGCTATTCTGAAGGGGAGCTGCTCCAGCGGTAGCCTGATGTCATTTCTTCCTCTTTTAATATAGATAAGCGCAGCCCTGCAGAGAAGGACTTGGAGGTACTGGTGGATGAAAAGCTGGATGTGATCCAGCAGTGTGTGCTCACAACCCACAAAGCCAACCGTACCCTGGGCTGCATCCCAAGCAGCATGATCAGCAGCTCGAGGGAGGGGATTCTCCCCCTCTACTCCGCTCTGGTGAGACCCACCTGCAGTACTGCCTTCAGCTCTGGGGTCCTCAGCACCAGAAGGACATGGACCTGTTGGAGCGAGTCCAGAGGAGGGCCACAGAAACGATTAGAGGAATGAAACACCTCTCCTATGAAGACAGGCTGAGAGAGCTGGGGTTGTTCAGCCTGGAGAAGAGAAGGCTCTGGGGAGACCTTATTGCAGCCTTTGAACACTGAAAGGGAGCTTATAAGAAAGATGGGGACAAGCATTTTAGTAGGGCCTGTAGAGATAGGAAAAGGGGTAGTGGTTTTAAACTAGAAGAGGATAGATTTAAACAAGATACAAGGAAGAAATTCTTCACTGTGAGGGTGCTGAGGCAGTGGCAGAGGTTGCCCAGAGAAGCTGTGGATGCCCTGTCCCTGGAAGTGTTCAAGGCCAGGTTGGATGGGGCTGTGAGCAACCTGGTCTGGGGGAAGGTGTCCCTGCCCGTGGCAGGGCGGCTGGAATCAGATGATACTTAAGGTCCCTTCCAACTGAAACCATTCTATGATTCATTCTATGATATAAGGAAGAAATTTTTTGTTATGAAGGTGGTGGAACACCAGAACAAGTTGCCCAGAGGGGTGGTAGATGCCTCATCCCTGGAAGCATTCAAGGTCAGGACAGACAGGGCTCTGAGCAACCTGATGTAGTTAGAATACAATAGAATCATCTAGGTTGGAAAATACCTTTAATATCACTGAGTCCAACTGTAAACCTAGCACTGCCAAGTCCACCACTAAACCATGTCTGTAAGTGCCACATCTACACATCTTTTAAATACCTCCAGGGATCGTGACTCCACCACTTCCATGGACGGCCTGTTCCAATGCTTGATAACCCTTTTGGTGAAGAAATATTTCGTAATACCCAACCTAAACCTCCCCTGGTGCAACTTGAGGCCATTTCCTCTTGTCCTATCCCTTGTTACTGGGGAAAAGAGACCCACCTTGCTACAACCTCCTTTCAGGTAGCTGTAGAGAGCAATCAGGTCTCCTCTCAGCCTCCTGTTCTCCAGGCTAAACAACCCAGTTCCCTCAGTTGCTTGTCCTAAGACTTGTTCTTTAAAATGTTGAAGATGTCCCTACTTGCTGCAGGGGGGGGTTGGACTAGATGACCTTTAAAGGTCCCTTCCAACCCAAAGTAGTCTATGATTGTATGAAGATATGCCGACACAGGTAGTGCTGTTTTGCCTCTCCCATAGCTCTGCTTTTTGAAAGCATCCTTTTGCTGGCTGAGGTAACATGTAGGAGAGAGAGCTATAGTGGTGAAGGGAATCAGCACGTCTTCAGGTGACTGCATTCATGGTGGAGAGTGCGCGTGGGACATTGTGTTTAAGCACATCTTTTACCAGCTCACACAGGGAGAAGCCTCAGCTGGGCTGACACTACTGTGGGGCCACTCAAGCAAGGCACAGCCCATCACCTGCAGGAACCCATCCCACAGGGAGGTGGAGAGGACCTCAGCTCAGGGACTAGAGTTTAAATACCATGAGGCTGGTGCTTAACAAGGGGCAACCCCCATTGCTGCTCCAGCTGCCAGGACCAGTGGGGCAACTGTTCTCACCTATACCCTACTGGGTACTGTGCTTCCAACTGGCTTCCCACCATCTTTCTTCAGCGCTTACCCACCTGGGTGCACTCTGCTAGATCAGTCCCTTACACCAGCTCCTTCCCTGAACAGAAGATTCCTTGCAGGTGTAGGACATAAACAAGACAGTTAGCTGCAACTCAGGCAAACAGTATCTAAACCCTTCTCTGGTGGGCAAAGGAAGTAGAGTGAGCCGAGGGGCAGGGAAACACACTGAAATGCTAAATGGCCATCAGCCCCTGCCCTTGATTGGAAAACAGTTTTGTCTGAGTGCTCAGGGAGATTTCCTCCACTGCTCAGTTTCTTTCAAAAGCAGAGACTTTGGAAATGCCCTCCACCTCAATTATTTTTTTTTTTCCCAGATGAGAAAACTTGGTCACAGGACGAGAGATTTACCCAACGCTGTGTCACAGGCAGGGCAAGGATAACAGTGTTTTCCACATCGCTATCCAGTGCTCTGTCCTCTAAACCGAGCTTCCACCTTTGGCTCAGCCCCTCAACCCCAGCCAGCTGCTTTTGCCATAGCTTGGACTCACCAGCTCCAAAGCCTAGGAAGGCATACAATGCACCGGCAAACATGGCGAACACGCATCACTCTTCCTTGATACCAGGGACATTAACACAGACAAATGAGATGGGAACAGAACATTCCTACAAGACACGACTTGAATTTATGTTTATTATATATATATATTTTTATATATATACCTTTGTATAGATTAAACTGGGTGGGATTTTATCATACACACTTTTTTTGGTATAATACATGAGAAACAGGAACAGGAACATAGCAAATATAAATCAGTACATTCCTTGAATGAAGTCTTTGTCACACTGAGACTGAAAAATTGCATGCAATGGGGAGACAGAAAGAAGGGAAATCAATTTTATTTTAAAAAAAAAAAAAGACAGACAATCTAGGAACAACTGTCAACAGAGGAGCAGCACTATACATGGCAAACCTGTATAAATTAAAAGTAAATTCCACTCTGACATCTACTATGCTTTAAAGTGCGATGAAGCCTGATTTATTTACCTACAGGATACAGGAAAGATTACCCCCTCTCCCCATTCCAATCTATCCCTAAAAAAAACCAAAAAAAACCCCCCAAAAAAACCACCCAAACAAAAAACCCAATAAAATAAATCTAAAGGATATACATTATCCACAATCCTATAGAGACGCCTACATCTACTCAGTAGCACCAAGAATCTGATATGGGTGTAATTAAAATCAATTAAAACTCGGGAGCAATGGTAACATCAGTTTGCTGCTTTGCAGACCTCCTGCCCTTTATTAGTGTCTTGGAGGAGAAGTGGCTCTCCCTGTGCTGAAAGTGAAGGCGACAGTGTCCTGTCCTCTCTCTGTCACCGGCTGAACTGTTTGGGCAGCAGGCTACAAACACACACGCACACACATACACAGCACAGTGAGAGCAGCTGAAGGTTACACGAAGGGGATGGGGTGGGAAGCCGAGGCCCCACGTGTGCGCGTTGGTGTCTGTACGGATGTGCGCACACAGGTGCGTGTGTGTGGAGGGAGTGGGACTGATCTACACACAGGTGAAGGGTTGTGTGAGTCCTGCACATGCCACGAGCCTCTTCGGTGTCAGGGTGATGGGGAGGGAGGGAGAGAGGGAGAGAAAGGGAGTCAGCACAGTCCCCCTCTTGTGAGCCTCCGGTTGTGTTGTCTTCCGAGGCTGGGGGCCTGTGCGCCACAGTTCATCCATCTCCACATGCCACCTCTCAGCAGGCCTCAGTAGCCAAAGGTCTCCTGGGAAGCATAGACCATGTAGAGGAAGCCATCCTCGTCCTTCTCCTGCTCGTAGATCTCCGAGATGGGGGTAGACACACTCACCATGCTGTGCTGGTTCACTAGCAGGAAGAAAGCCTGGGTGGGATTCAGCTGCAAGCGACGTCTGTTGGGGCAAGGGCAGGAGGGCCTGGGTCAACCCACCTGCAGCAGGCACAGCGACAGCAAGTTCTACCTGCCCCCAGCAATGCTGCTCACAGCCAGGACCTCCCACAGGCTCACGACATGGTGTCCACGAGCCCGGCTGAGCTGCTCAGGGCACCAAGGCCTCCTGAGTTGGGACTCTGCAAAGCCCCTTTCTCCAGGCACTGCTGGTAAAGGCAAAGCAGAGGGGCCTCTTCCATCTGAGCTGAAGGATAAAAGAAGGGGACTGGAGTCCCCCTCATCAGCTCATGGAGCATCCCTGTGAGGGAGAGGTCACAGTCCTTCACCAGATGCTAAGAACCTGCCCCACCTCGACCCTCCCAAACAGTCTGTACCACATCACAAGGATGCTGTGGTTGTCATGTCCTCATCCCCACCCTCAGCAGCTGCCATCTGCCTCATCCTCACCCCACCACTCTGTGTTCAGGGCCTGTGGGTGAGGACAGGTTCACAGCATGCCAGTTGGGGCCACCCCACTCACCGGATTATTTTGACCAATTCACTCATGTTGACATGGTCTGGGACAAGGAACTTGGTCTTGTCCAGCACTGGCAGCTGTTTCTCTCCTTTATAGCGTTCAATGATGACCTGGGGAGAAAGTCAAGGGTGGGGTTAGCCACAGTTTACAGTGCCCCAAGCACTGGCCTCAAGGTCAAACACAAATCAAACTAGCACAAGTGGAAAAGTTGAGGTAAAGCCCCGCTTTGCTTCACTCTCACAGGAAAACAAAAAAAAAAAGGACATGAGCAGTGACCATCAGGTTGGCTGCAGCCAGCTCTTCAGCAAAGAGCCGTCTGTCTGCCTGAGCCAGACGGCGGAGAGCATCCCAGAGAAGTGAACTAAAGCATCAATTGCTCTGGCTGGCTGAGAAACAGTAGACATTACCGGATTGATTTAGCTACCTCCTCCGACACGCAGGAAATCAGGAAGAGGAGTGAAGTATATTTTAACATCACTTTCAGACTGACCAAAACCACAGGTTTTGCTGGCTTGAGCTAAGGACTGAACTCATGGTGCATAGCAAGAGACATTTTCTTTCCCTTTTGTGCCACGACTCTGGGCTGCTGCCGCTCAGCATCACCCTGCTTGCTCAGGAAGAGCTGCGGATATTCCCAAACAAGAAGTTTTTAGAAATCACTGTGGAGCCACCCAAAGCATTCCTTCAGAAAGAGGGAGTTTGAGTCTTGCCAGTCCCACTCCTCATGTTAACACTCACACACACTGAGTCCAAAAAGGATCAGAAACCCACGGCCATTTCTCCCGTGTGCCACCACAGCTGTGCAGGGAGTTTCCAGGGCACTCCAGCACAGGGCCACCACAGGGACAGCCCAGCTTGTCCTCCCCTGCAAGAGGTCTTGCTTGGGAAAGCTCTCACCACACCTACACTCTGAAACGGCTAAACAATGATTTCTGTTCAGTTTTCCTGCTATTATAATTAATGAATTTCTTCTGTTAAGGAGTGTCTGCTGACAGCTACAGTTGCTATTCTAAACCAGCTTGGAAATGTACTATTTGTATTCTAAGAAACAAGGTGGTAGGCAGTTAAAGTAAGTAATGATATTACTTCTAAAGTTCAGTACGTTCCCATTACAGTGATACTCTGACTCCCGCATCTCTCCAGTACCTAGTTGATTTCTCCACAGAAAGACACTTCTATAGTACTCAGCGCATCACCCTCTCTGAGTTGAGACTGAACATTATTTTTCCACTATAAGGCAAGGGGTTCCCATAAATCATTTTCCCAGGTCTTTTCCAAAAATATATGGAAGGCTGCAAATGCCTTTGGACAATGAAGGGATGGAGCGGCATGCAGAGATCAGGATCCCCAGAAGATGACTCTGTGGAGCCAAAAGGATCACCCCAACTCTGGCAAACATTGATTTGCCTTTCCCTTAATCATCTGTTGACACAGCAGCCTGTATCAGCAGCAGCACTGTAACTCCTGCTGCCTGCCCACACCAAAGCCAAACCAGACACTCTGGCTGGGATGCTGCGGTACCACCAGTGAGCTGGGAATGTCTGATGAGTTCCCCAGACTGCAGGGCGTCTCTCAAGGCCCACCAGGATGGGCCAAGCTATGTGGTAGGCAGTTCCTGGCTGAGGGAGGGGTGTGAGACACGTTGGTGAGAGCTCTGCACCTAAACGCCCTCTGAAGAGCCCATCCTGGACAACGCTCACACAAGGGAAACCCAGGAGCCCGAGGGCCGAACAAGCAGCGTATGAAGGCCCCCGTGAGTACCCCAATGCATCCTCACATTGGCCATGTCTCCTCCTGATACCGAGCAAGACTGCCAGAGAAAGAGAGCAGGGAAAGCCAGGTATTGTTCCTTCATCCCCTTTTGCAAGATGGGGACCTGATGAAACAAAAATTTTGTGCAACAGGCTAAATCACGCATCAGGGTGCCCCTTACCAACCTGCTAACATCCCTCCCTCCAGGAGGAAGGCAGAGGAAGGACAGACAAGCAGAACCATTCTACTGTATTTAATTTGAGTCTTACTTGGACAGACAAGTACTTTGGCTATAGGTAGCTGAAGAGTCTCAAAGGGCTGGACATTCACAACAGCCACATACAGGGATGCTGCTCTGGCAGCATCAGAAACACAGCGGGAACAGAGCGACCTCGAGTCTTTAACAGTGGTTTGCACAAAGGGGCAGCGACGCAGCAACTGTTTGTGCATATACCTTTACATGCAGAAAGGGCCCTCTACACCTGGGCTAGGCCTGATTTCTCTCTTACATCTAGCAGGAACAGAGGCAGATGTCTCTAATTACCACCTAGTTCCATCCCACAAAGAAAAGCCTCTCAATTATTCAAGAATGGGGTGAAAAGGATGTCCTGGCTGTTAAAGCAGCAGCTGCCTTATGCCCTGAGCAGACAGAGGGCCTGTCATGTAGAACAGCTCCGAGTGTTTCTGTTTTCAGAACACGAGCTGCTATTTGGGTAACTCAGCTATGGGAACAGCTGGCCAATGGACAAAACATTCTTGGGTAGCTTTGAAGGGAAACGCATAATCAAATGCTAATATTACATCCCTGTGGCCACCCACAGGGCTTGTGTACAAAGCCACCTCCCCTCCCATATCCTCTTCCAAGCTGCTGCCTCAGGCTAGAGGGTTCCTCAGTGTGGGATACCTGCTCTTGCAGTGGGAACCCACCACAGATCTCACTGCAGAAATAACACGAGCTGGGCACAGATGGAAAGGCTTAGGGCAGAGCCTGGGGTCCAAGTCCCATCGCAGAGGGGGTCTGGGCGGCATTTGTAAACTCAACCCTTGTTCTGGAGCCAGTATGAAGAGGTGGAAAGGGATTTTGGTAGGGAATGGGGCCAGATCTGGCAGCCCGACAGACGCAAGGCTGCCACCGCTCCATGCCCCCAGGTCCAACCAGTAGCTGAGAATGTATTCCCAGTAGGCACACACACAAAGGTGTATACGTAACACATACATAGCTATATACGTGGCCAGCCACAGAGATCAACACAGACATGCACAGCAATCACACGAACACAGACAGCACCAACAACCTCATCCTGTCCCCCTCAGGCTGAGCAGGGTGGAGGTCCTTTAGTGGGAATATATACAGTAAACCCCCTCAGTCCAAAAGGTGCTCTGGCATTGATTCATCTTGACTTGTGTCAGTCCTGGTCACTGGCTCTGCGGCTCCCCAGAACAGCCCTCGCAGGAGCCCAGAGAAGGCTGTCCCTTCCTCTAAGTCCGTAATTTGGGTTTCCATCCACCATTGTGCCGGGCCAGGGCATTATTTGGGCTCCCTCACCTGCCACTGCCTCTCCATGCTCATCTGCAGGTGTGTAGATGAGCTTTTTATCACATCACCTAACAGAGACCTCTCTGCATGGCCCAAAGACAGCCTCAGCCTTCCCTATCAGCATGAGAGGTAGCTCTCCGCGTCCCACCCTCTGCAGCAGTACAGCCCGTGACTCAGTAGGCCTCGCTGAATTTAGCATTACAGTGCTTTGGAAAATGGTTTGCTCCCATTGCTGCCCAGCACAAGCTGTTCCCCAGTGATTTTAGACTCTCCAAGGTTCATCAGAGGTGGCTTAAAGCTTGCAGCTGCTCCTCAACAGGCCCCAGTTCAATGGGCTCCAGAAAGAGAGCAGTGGGGCTGACAGCAGGGGAGGGCGATGGGCAGGCATAAGCTCGGTCCACCCCCCCACAGGGCAGAAGATGACTTCTACAGCATCTGCTGAGGCTGTGGATGGAGGTCCCAGCAGGAGGGCAGGAAGCTCTCTGCTTGCTCTGCCCACCCGAGGAGGAGCCACCTTGCAGCTGCCTGCAAGGGCGGCTGGAGGCTCCTTCCCAACAGAGCCAAGCGTGAGCAGCTCCTCACTGCCCACACAACCATGCCCTTCTCGGTGACAGCTCTGTGTTCCTGTGGCCAGCACTTCTGACCATGGAAGTGCAGCCAGCTTTGGGGAATGCAGAGACAGCAAAGGAGCCTCTGGCATGAGCTGGACGGGGAAACACTGCGGAGCTCCTAGCTCCTGCCTGTCTCCTTATTACATGTGCCAGTGAGGCGTCCTGGGGTGTCATTTCCCTTCAAACACAAGCAGAGGACTTCACACCTCAGGCAGAGTCCAGGTTATCCACTGCTTTGTCCCCGATGGGCTCAGACAGACGCTCCCGCCAGGTCTCTCCCCACGCAGTCCCCCCATGTGTATGTGGCACAGCCCTTTCCTCAGCCTTCTCTGGAAGGACCCTCATGGAAACAGGAGAGAAATGTCTTTCCCTGGGCACAGAGCCAGGCCATGCACTCCGCAAATCCTCCCGGCCCTCTGTCAAAGCAAAAAGGAACGCACCCAAGGGCTCTGAGGGGAAACTGGAGATGCAAGAGGAGGGCAGCAGCTGCAGCACAGCTTGCGGTGATTTCTGCCAGCAATAAGGATGTGACCTGGGCCATCTTCTCCCTAACTCCCCCTGGGCTGTGGGCTCGAACCCCTTGGCTAATTCCAGGTGCCTCTCCAGGGAAGCCAGTCACCTGGCAAACACAGCTCTTGCCTTTCAGAGAACACCAAGACCTTCCTACAGCCAATCTGCCTGCACTGCACTGCTCACACCCACAGCTATCCCCCACACCACGCTCCGCTTTGCAGCACGAGGCTTTGCTCACAGCCCTAGCACTGACAGCTACATACAGTGATTTTGCAGGAACTTTGCTATGTAAAGGAGAAGAGATAGCATCAAACTTGGTGTCAAGGTCTAACCAGGACCAGGCCTTTAGAGATACCAATGACACAAACACAACTGGACCCCCAAGGCCTTCAACACCCTTCTCTCCTCCTGGTTCTTTTTACTTCTCCAGCAAAACTTGCAGCTAAACTTACCCTCCCCTGTTGTGTCAGTCAGGCCAGGAAAGCAAAACAGCTGAGCGTCCTCTGACAACGCTGGCATTCAGGACACTATCAAGGACAATAAGGCACTGAACAAAGAGGTCACTGGAGCAGGTGTGGGAGGGCTCAGGTCTCTGCCATGGCTAAACCTCCCCGCACACACACAGCTCCCCAGACAACGACAACCACTGGCCAGGTCCTGATGACACAGAAGCCTTCTCCTAGGGCACGTGGTGTCTGACCCCAACACAAAGAGCACTCCAGCCACAGAAGCTCTCCCACCACGTTTCAGTAATTCCGGTAAAATTCTGCACGTGGATGCAGAGCTCTGGCTCCTCTGTTCATTTCCCAGGCAACATGCATTTGTGTACAGGCACTTGATATATGCATGTGTGTATATTTTATGTACAACTTATTTCTAGCCTGTCCTTATTGCTAGAGCCTTAAGGCATTGTAATTAGCTCTGCCACAACTCTGGAGAAACGCAGAGCCAGCTTAATGCCATGAAAACCATATTAAAAGCAGTAGTCAATAAATGTGTAGATGATCTGGCATACCGGTACTCTGTGTGCTGCAAGGGGCAAGACCTGCTCTGCTGAGCTGACAACATGTGGACGCCACAGTGGCGGTGGAAGAGAAGGAAGAGAAAGAATTCTTTTTGCTAGAAGATGCTGTGCTAAAATCCAAAAAACAGTGAAGATAGTATGTGCCAAGAGCAGTTTGAGACATTAAGCCTTGAAGGCTAAATACTGAGAGACTGTATGCAATTTTACGACAAGGCTGATGTTCATTCAACACTGAGAGCGAGCTGAACTAGGAACACATCCCATTTTCTGATCATACATACTATGGTATTGCAAATACTAACTGGAGCAAGGCCCGAGTACGTTATTTCTCCAAGTTCTCCATCTTCTCAGGAAGAAAAGCAAATACTCAGCTAGGCTATCCAAAGCAGACTTACAGCCCAAGAGCAAGACAGTCTATTAGGTCTGACATGGGCAGGAAGAACCGGAGGCAATTCATGGAGTCTCACCTACGCGTGTCAACAACAGGTGCTGGGAAAGCACAGAACGAGTGTGACCGTTTGGCTGTGTTATGAATTATCGTAAGAGTCTCTTTGCTTTCAATACAGTGAAGTCCATCTCATATATCTTTCTCTGGGCAGATGCAAAGAAATCAGGTTATTGAGGAAAAGTCAGGTAGCTATGGCAGCAACCACCACAAAAAAAGGCCATTTCAGAGTTTGCTCCTGCTGCACTAGCTTGGAAGTAGATTTGAGATCAAATCAGTTCCTTGCCTCTAGGGCAGGCATGAAGCTGAAGAGAAAGACTGTATTTTGCTCTGCTGAGAATGCAGTCTACTATTGAGCAGCTGGTATGCACAAGGCACTGAAGGCTTATGGAGAGCATCCTGTGTTGATTCTGGGGAACAAAGTTTTATAACCTCCGTGGCTGGCTGGTGGAGGCTATCCAGCAGCACAGAGGGGTCATGAGAAAAAAGTCTCAGCGCGGAACAGTGAGAATGATAACTTACCGGGATTTTGTTTGGATGCTGCTCTCGTATCTGCTGTACTTCTTTACAACGATCCGCTGGAAAGAAAGAAGTAGAGGAATAAAGTTAGAAACATCTGGCTGGGCTAGTTCAGGCAAAAACGAGATAACCACCCTGCAAGCCACAAAGTGACAGAGAAGGACATTGTAAAAGAAATGCAAATTTTGTTCATCAGGCCTTTTCTGAACATTTTGCAGCAGTGAGACCGTCAGCCAGATGTCAGCTTCAGCGACCAACCCTCCATGCCTTCCTACCACCCCAATCACACCCCAAGGCAGGAACATGCTACTCTGCCCAGTAAAACTGGGCAACACACATAGAAACCGAACAACTTAAATGAGATGATAAGGATTACAAAACTGTATTCCTTAATCTACCTTAAAGCAAATGCAGCTCATGACCATCAGTGCCGAGCAGCAGCACAGCTTTAGGGTCTCAGCTCTAGAAGTTCAGGCTTTTTGTGTCTCCTGGCTGCTTCCCCAGAGGAGATGATTCTCCAACTGGGGCTGGGTTTTAGCCATTTCCTTCTGCCTGTTGCGCACGTCCAAGCACTACCTGGCACGGTGCCTCAGTCCAAAGGAGATACGCCTTGCCAAGGAGGACTCCTTCGCTATCACAGATCTACAACAGCTATTGGCCTGACAGAAAGTATTTCTAGACCTGTTGCGGAAACAAGAAGAAAACTTAAGCAAGGAGATAATCCATGTGCTAAAAGATTTCTTCTGCAGTTGTTCTCACACTTTCTAACCCACCTTCCTGCAGAGTTCCTGTTTACAGACACACACAACAGGCAGCACATAAAACCTTGTACACTCTTTGAGTTTACAGGCGAATTTCAATGCCCCTTCACTGCGTTACCAGAGGGCCCTCCACTTTCCACAATTCAAAGCAGCAGAAAGGAAGGGAAGAAGCCGTTCCACGGCCATACGGCCCTCTGTGTGCTCTTCCTCGGACACAACAGACCCACGCTCCTCCTCGCATTACCGTTACTCTGGGAAGCGCTTCACAGCCTCCGACGGCCCATCTGAAGTGCCCAGGGGAAGGAGATTCATGGATCACAGTAGGTCAGCTGGGGGGTGAAGGCCAACGACTAAGGACTGCCTAGAAATGCAAGACCTGGGTATTGCGGGGTCTGTCATGGGCTCGTCCTGCCGCACACACAGCTCCCGCTGTAGCACCTGCCTCACGCCCGACTCCCCTTCACCTGCTTCACGCAGCCCCAGTTTCTCACGACCCGCCAGGATCACGTAAGGCAGGACAAGCGCATGTGTTTGAGTGTGTTTTCTCTCCATAAACATAGAGGTTTCTCCTCTAACCACTCAATAAAACCTTATTGCTTATAAATTGAATTTGGCTAGATACTACTTCGGGAAGAGACTGGAGTTTCTTTAGAGGCCACAAGACTACAAAATCACCAGATCACAGAAGCTTTTGAGCATCATTTCTGTCTCCTCTGAGACGAAAATATCCCTCTGCCAGGAACTGCTTGACCTTTCTTCTGTAGGACTCCATAGGCCAGCAAGACAGAGAAAAATGATTTGGATTTAATGGAAAATTTGCCCATATGTTTTGGGTTTTATGACTGAAGATGTAGTTCCTCATGTTTCCTTTGCACCCTTATCCAGTGCTCCAGGGATATCCAGATTTATCCTTGTGATACAGCCAATTTTCCCCTGAGGTCCCAAACAGCAAGGAGCTACGCAGAAATCAGCACCGCACGTGACACTGGTACGGCAATGCCTCTTCAGGAACGCTGAAGGACACAGCGACAAGAAGCACTCAGCACCAAGCACCCAACACGTAGCACCCAACTTGAGCTGCCAGCCAGAAGCACGTGTCCCCCCTTCTGCAGAGCTCCGCTCCCACGTGTTCACCGTGCACAAGCTTCATGGAAGCCTGGAGATCCAGAGCACGAGTGGACAACATTTATCAGCCTAAGTACCTCAGGCAGCTTGACTGCAGTCAGCTCAGACTTGCTGGGTATTGACAGAGCCTGCAGAAAGCTGTGTCCTCATGGCTGCCTACTTTTTCCAGCTTCAGTATGCACCCTATCCTGCCTCTCTCCATACTATCAGGTGGCCATGTGGATGAACTTCCTAGACATCATGCATTTCCCTGTAGGGCCACAGAACTGTTTGCACAGGAAGCCCCAACAATGCAGGTAATTATGAGAAGGGTCCGAGAAGCAATTCGCCAAAGGAAAACTTGCAGCCTTTGCACGTTATCATGGCTAGAATGTAGATAATCTCAGAGCATCCAACTAGTCTAGGCTGCATGCACCAAAGGGCAGCCACACACCTGATAGCCCTTCATGCTCCCTGGAAGCATCACCAACTCCAGCAGAAGGCTGGCAGCCATCACCACCTTTGCTTCCACAGAGGAGCCAGAGGTGCCTCCTGCCCATCACACTGAAAAAGATGCCAGAGAGAGAGAGTAAGACAGTACCTCGTCTATCCAGCTACACGTCAGTGTCTCAGGATCCCAGTCCTGAAGCCGCAGTCCTTTGTCCCCGAGGGGTGCAGGCTGCAGGTGCCTCGGACAGAGGCAGGCCAGGTTCCTGCTGCACCACCCTTCCTCCAGGTCTGGCTGACTCCCCGCTCAGCAGAAATTAAGGGCACAAGCCATCAGTGATAAAGCTCTCGACTAGCCTTAACTCTGATGTACCACACCGGCACCTCCTCTGTCCCACTCTTTAAGCCCTGCCACGTGCCCAGGACCTGGTCCCTCTGGTCAGAAGGACCCAGGGCTTTTGCAGCCTTCCTAATCTCAGAGGATGCTGTGGGAGGTGGCTGATCTGCAGGTTACCACCATGCAAGGACAGCAGGTGCTGCTTTACTCCAGGGGCTGCTGGACCCCTTCAGCAGGTATCTGTGATTGCAACTACAAGCACCTAAAGCACTGCACTTCTTCCTCTGCCCAGAGGATGCCCACTTCAGAAATTTCATTTGGGAAGGCTGTTGGGAGCAACCCCACCTAAGCTGTTCAGGTGCCTCAAGATTTAGGCAGAAGTTTCCAGGACATCTGAAGCTCTGCTAAGGAGCTCACTCAGTCCCATCCTAGCCTTGGAGGTCCAACCAAGCAGGCCTGGGAATCAGGAGAAGCTAGCCCACATCAAACCCTGCACAAGGGCAATTTCTGTGCACGCAATAGCTCAGGCGCTAGAGATCTCCCGCAAGAAATAGGTGAGAGTCACCCACACCCTCCTCAGCCTGGAGTGGGAGCTAGAGGTTGATCCGTGTCTCATGAAAGCATCTCCAACATCACACAGCAACGAATGGTTATAAATACCACCTTTGATTTAATGTATATGTAGTCTAATCTAAGTCACAGGAATAAAGAGAAAACCATTAAACGGCACTTCAGAGCGACGCTGACGGAGATGCCAGGCCAGCACCCAGGCGCCCGCCACGCACAGCGCAGCGACAGGTACGCTCCCCCCACCCCTTCACCAGCAGTGTCCGCACAGCCACATTGCACACCCAACGGGTCTGATTTTACAAGCCCTGTTCTCCTGCAGCTCTCCCAAATTATAGCTGTACTAATCGAGGTGAAGACTTGCCCCCTTTCCGTAGCGCCCAGCTATAGTTAATCTTTAGCCCATATGTAAAGTGAACCAGAACTGTTTACACAACCCAGTCCACTTCTGCATTTTTTTTTTCTCTGGCCGTTCCTCACTGCAAGGAGAAGCAAAACACCACACCTGATTTCAGCAGCGCAGGGACTCCAAGCAAGAGGGGATGAAGGGGCTACAGATGAAGGGGTTGTTGTTTGGGAGGAGCCGAGCAAAAATCATCGACCTGCAGGCAGAGGGACGAGCAGTGCCCCTGCTCCCAGGTGGGGACACGGCACATCTGCCGGGAGGGAAGTCGGGCTTCTCCCCAGCGTCAGGACGCGAGAGCTCAAGGTGGCAGCAAGACAAAACCCACACTCTTCTTATTGGTTATTCTTAGCGAAACTTCATTGCTAGGGCCTACTGAAAGACAGGAGTATTTTTGTAGCATTGCATATACCAGGAAAATTGCCTATTTCTCCTCCAACTGCTATTTCAACTGTTAAACACCAACAGCAAAGCTTGCAAATTGCCCCAAACACCAGAATCTCAGCTGTTTTCTTGACTGAGGTCTTTCCCAAGCTTTTCTCCCAACGATGTGGGCACACAACGTATCCCATGGCAATGCAGAATGCGACCGTTAGGACAGTTAAGAAGAACAGTAGAAAATTTTAAGCCAGACTTTCTGAATGTTAACCTTTTTTATCAGCAGTGCCCAGGAACCCCGGCTACAGGAGACAGGTCTCTGCTGTGCTGGGCGCTGCGCAGACGCAGGACGGAAGGACAGCCCTGGATGCAAGAGAGCTCAATCAGACAAAAGATACAGATGGTGGAACAGAAGGAAAACACATGGCAAGTTCTCCAACAGCGCAGTTGCGTAAGGGACAGCATTTTTCAGGAGATGTCAGACAAACACTGGTCAGGCACCGGTGCTGCCCCGGGACAGCAGATGGATTCTACAACCAGCCCTGCTGCCCACGACCAACAGGAATGCTGTCAAGAAAACACCATTAAGAAAAAATACACCACCTGGAAACGTCATCAACGTGCTACCAGGTCAACAGCTCCTGAGCTGAGCAAGAGCTGCGTGTGAAGAGCAAAGCAGAGAGGAGAAGTTCAGCGGTGAGCTACTGCCTCTCCCTGTGGTCCCACGTCCCAGGGCTCTGGGTGCAGCTGCCCAGGGCACGAAGGGAGCGTGCGGACACATCCCTGCCACTTGCAGCAAGCTGCCAGCCCTGTGGCTTTCTCACTGCCATCCACAAGACACGCTGCCAGCCAGCTTGGGGGTGGATCTGCCTCAGAACTGAAGCAGATGCAAAAATGAACATGTTCCTTCAAGAAGCTGCCGTGGTCAGTCCCAGGGCAGAGGGTTGCTAGAATGTGGTCCTCTCTCCAAGAGATTTTCTGCGAGGAGGAACTGGATGGTTTGAAACCAGGAGATGCCTGGGATGAGCTGGCAACTGCTGACACACGGGCAAGTTACGCAGGTCATTCCAGATGAACATCAATAAATATTTTTGTAGTATCACACCACCCTAAGGCCAGACACCTCTAACCACCAGGAAATACACCCCCGTGTATGCGTCACGGCTCACACAACAGCTGACCTGACCTGTCCTTGGCCAATGCTGGAGAGCTTGTTCTCAGGCCGGTGGCACTGCAGAAGGAGCAAGAGGAGACTCCCACGTCCAGGAAAGGCGGGCAGAGCTTGTCCTCACTGCTAAGAAAGGGTTGTTGTCCCAGCCTACGCAGGACAGCAGCGTTCCAGACACTCGACAGTGACTCTGATCGTTGGTCATATTTTACTTCTTCTGTCTGCAAAGCTGGGGGGCTCCGGACAGAATGAGTGACTCAGGACCAAAACTACACTGTCTTGAACTTAATGTTTGATAGAAAGCGTGTCTCTGCAACAGTGGAGGTAGAGCCTGATGGTGCACTGTCACAGGAAGGTATCACCAACATGAACGTGGAGCAATTGATGATCTGTCTGCATGAGCATCCATTTCACTGTCACAGCTTCACTACAAGACGTGTAATGTCTGGAAGGATTTTTGAATGCCTAGCTTCTAGAGCCCCGCGACTGCAGAAGGATCTCGGCAGTCGTGTTCATTTGCGTAAGTTCCCAGTCTTCCTGGCTCCAGAGCAGAGCTTGAAAATGCATTTTAAAAGACAAACAGGAATCACCTTCATTTTTTTAGCAGTTTCAAAATTTAACTGAGTATGATTTTGAGCCTGGCTCCAGGAATGAGTATTTCTATCTGGCAAATCCACGATAAGGGCTCGGCTGGTGACCAAGCAGAGCCACACAACAACTGTGAAGTCTAAATTCGTGTCAAGACGCTTGTTCTCTGCTCGCACAGCACCGTGTCACCCCTGCCGGGGGCCATGCAGGATGAGCGCTGGGTCTCCATCATTCAAACAGCTTAAAACAGGGCTTCCAACTCACTACACCTCCTGAGCATGGGGGGCAAATGGGCAATACCTTTGGCTGGCACTTGGAGTATTTACATCGCAGTTCCAGATAAGGAATTGGGTTTTTTTTGCTCAACGTTTAATCACAGTTTCACTAGCCTTGGAAAAAGAACAGCAAGTGCCCTCCCTATGAGCCATCACGAGGCTGTCCTCTGCAAGGGCTTCCCTCTAGCTTTTGTTTGACCTTTTCTTCCATCTTGACAACCTTCACAAATACAAGCCTCCAAGATAGCAGGACTGCACTTAAATTTCTCAGAACTACTGAGGACACTTCAAATTGCTCAAACAAGGAACTGGCACTCCTGAGAGAACTGTATTTTAATGCAGAACGCCACACATGTGGATGCACAAAGAGACTTTGCCCAACCTGGGTCATTGCTATTTGTGCACAAACATGCCTGGACATGCACAGATTTGCAGGGCACATTTGCGGAGACGTGCCAGACACCAGAGTCTTCAATTTATTCCCTCATTTTCTCTCTCAGCCCATTTCCAAGCTGCCTTCTGAAGACAAAAGGCAGCAAACAACTGCATGACCACAGAGTCGGAGGTGTTTACACACCGCAGGTCAACCGCAGAACGCCGCACAAGCAGGGTGACACACAAAGACCTCCCGAGTGACACTCCTGACCGCGATCCCCACTGGGACTGACCAAGGAAGGAGCACAGAAGCCAAGCGAGATGACTTGTCTGTGGCTCATGGCTACTCGATGGCAGAGGCAGCAAAAGTGTACCAGTCTTACAGCTCATTCATGAGCCTCCACCCCTCTGGCTCAAGGGGATAGCTGAAGTTTTTGTAGTGAATAAAGTCTTATGTAACGAACAAAGGACATACAGGTTTGATTATTCCTGGCTACCCATCAGGTCCTTTTGTTATATAAAAGAAGAATAATAAAAAAATCAATAGTTGTGGTCTACATGTCTAGCTAGCATTTGTTCTGGATGTTTGTTCAGTTCTTCGTGTCCCAATGTTTTCTTCAATGCTGATAATTAACCCCACGTCAAATCATGTCACAGAATGCCCTCGGTAAGCAGTACAAGGCGACACAGGCAGCTAATCATCGACTTGCAACAGCAGCCTCATTTCAAGGAATCCCAGCTGCTAAAGCACAACTGCTAGAGCACCAATACCCCGCGCACAGAGTGCGAGGACCAGCTGACTCACTAACCAACCTCAGATCCAGATCGAGACGTTTTTCCAAGCCACCGACAAGCAAAACCGTTACGACAAGCACAGGATGGTGCGTGAGACAGACATTTCACCCACTGTTCGTCTTTCAACTGGTACAAGCACGGCCGGCTTACACTAGATGAGTCCCCAGAGAAGACAACATTTCACTTTTCCCCAGAGCCAAGAGAAGAGGGAATTCAGCTCCACACGCTGCCTTTATCTACCTCTGCCTTCCCTCTAGAGAAGTGGCTTCCCAGAACTTAAAGGCAGATCTCCCAGAGGACTGAACCTGGATGGGAATACTCTGTCCAGACAGCCTGAGGTCAAACCTCTGCGTCTGTCACCCAGCCGGGGTTCCAGCTGACCAAGAGGATACATGTCTGTGTCTTACTGCAAAGGCCTCCATTTCGGCAGGATGCTGCGGCGTGAGGCCAACTTACGTTCAGTGAGCCGACTGGTCTAGGTTTAAGGTCCATGTCCATAACCACACTGGTGATGCACTGCATTGAAAACAAAGCTTGAAGCTTGCTGGCAGCCTTGCAACAGCAGAGCAGCCAATTCAAAACAACCACTTCACAAACAGTGGGAGGTGCGAGCACGACCCAACGCCCCGAAGGACTCGCGTTCTTTACGGGAAGTGCAACGGTGTCGTCAGGCTGCCGCACGCTCCTGCTACAGCCAGGACACCCTGTTCCTTTGACACAGACCACAGCTTTGTTCTGAGAATTGTTTTGGACTCCTACAACAGATCTGACTACACAGAAGACAGCCGCCTCAGCGTCTACAGTCGGGTTCAGCGCATGAACACAGAGGGTTACTGTCAGATTTTATCCTGATGCACCCAGACCAAAGATGCTCTGCTGCAGACGTGCCAAGGACCGGACCACGTCACAGAGCATCACCCTCTCGCCACTAATGGCACATCAGATCATGGGAGAAGTCGGCGCTCGGTGCCCTCAAAACACCTTGACTCAAACCCCTGGTGTTTCCCAAGTCCTCAACAACGAGGAACAGAAATCCAGAAATTTTGGGGGGGATAGAAGTAAGACAAAGCAGATGTGTAAGGAGAAGAAATTCATGGAAAAACAAATCTCAAAAATACAATTAGAAGGAAAATATGCATTATGGAAAGTAGAATATTCAGCAGGGGGTGGAGACCAGGACCTAAGCAAGCCGCTTGCCGTGCAACTGGAGCCTGGGTGTTTTTTGTCAACAGTCATATTCCTGACTCTGCCTTTTCTCTGGTGTTTTGGAACCGTTCCACCTCTATGAAGTTTTGAAGCCTTAAAAATTAAGCCATTCTGAGGGTACAGCGTTGCTGGCAATGTTTTCCATCAGCCCTCTCCAACTGCATTGTAAACAATCGCTTCCTGCTCCTGTTGTGTAATGATTCGAAGAGGAAAACAAGCTGTATTTACTTTCTCCAACCCAGCAATTCCAGCCCTGACCCAAAGCAACTGCGTGGGCTGCCAAGCCTCCTCCTCCTCCTCCTCCTCCTCCTCCTTCTACTCCTCCTGGCTGAGCTTTGCAGACCAGTCAGCTGAGCGAGCGAAAGGGCAGAGGAAAGTACACAGAGACAAGGAGCACTTGCAGTTGCCAGCACCAAACTCCCTCACCCCCCTCTTTTCCCTCCCGGGCTATTTTAATCCTGCTTTCTTCCAACTACTCTGAGCCTGGGATTTTGTTTTCCTTCTGGCTCATACAAAGTCTGAGCAATCTGCAAAGGCAAACCAGACTCCTCCTGACCATAATAAGCTGATTCGCACCAGTTTAACAGTAAGTAGTTACTAAGGGTTTGATTTAGGACTTTACTACTTTTAATACGTCGCTCAGGAGGACACAGCAGGGTCCTGAGCGAGTATCCCAGGGTACCCAGACTTTGTTTTATTCTTGTTTGTGCATGTTCACTTGGCTTGGCTGCTGTGGCAGGAGAAAGCCGGGTAAGCATTCAAGGCCGGAAGGGTTGCACCAATCAATTATCAAATATTTACACTTTCCAAGAGAGCAGCGAGGGGTTGGATCAGCAGTTCAGTAGGAAAAAGCTCCAATTTTAAGACTCATGTAGGAAACACACCCTCACCTGTGTTTGGACAGTATCTGACACAAAATGAGGCCTTGTTTGCCATGAAGAATTGATTTCAGCATTATTCAGGCAGTAAAGCTCCACCGATACCCCCCTCAGGACGTAACCTGCCAGAAACGTGCACCCTTCCCAGTGCCAGCTGGCGAAAGTCAACAGAAACAGCAGCTGATGTTTCATCTGATTCCCCCATCTGGCCTGGCAATCAAACCTGGTACCTTCGGCGGTAACCTCCTTCTCCTTGCGTTCTCCGACCACGTACGCTGAACACCGGGATGGGCACGGTGCGAGCACTAACTCTTCGGGGTCTCAAGAACAATTAGAGAGGGTGTACCAAATTCTTGGAACAACAACTACTCTACTACTAATGGGGTGGGGGGCTTGGAACAACAACTACTCAACTACTAACGGGGTGGGGGGCGTGGAAGGTAATGGTTGAAGTGGCCATTGTGCTCCGAAGTCGGTACGAGGCGCACGGGTACGTACGCTGGCACGTACTGCGAGAGTAACGCCGCCCCGCTCCGCAGGGGGGGTACTGGGACCGGCCTGAGCCCGCAGCCCCCCTGCAAAGCAGGCGCA